CTTATTCATGAACCAGTGGCCTCTGTACCCAAAAGAGATGCACTACTGGACTGTGCTTGCAAATGATAATGACTTTGAGTTAATGACAAACTTGATTCTTTGTCTGTAAAAGGACTTAAGTTAATTGATTTTTGCAGATTTATTCACTAGTGTTTTGAAAATTATGTTTATGCTTTGGTCACGTTGCGCAATAAAGAAAAGTTAAGATAAATTAATTTTGTGGTTGTTAAATAAGCCTCAAAAAGAGAGAGTTATGTAGGCATCATATCAGCATTATTTCGCTACCTTGAGACTAAGAGATCCTGCTGCAACTTATGGATAAGAAAAGGAATAAAACCTTATCTTGCTACCTTTAAACTAATAGATCCTGCTTCCACTTATGGATAAGAAAAGGAATAAACTTTGAGGGTCTGAGGAAGAGATTTTGTTGTTCTTGTCAGGAGTTGAAAAATATTATAGGACAACACTCGGCAGGTTGAACAAGAACAATAATAGTGAAGAGGCCATGTTGAAAACAACGAAGACAAGAATAGTAACAACAACAAAATAACAGGGCAATAAGAAAACCGACATAAGGGAAACAACGGGTAGTAATAAAAATTGAAGGCTAAGATAATACGAGAATGATAATATACACATGATATGAGAAACACGGAACATATATGGTAATTCTAAACTCGACTACCTACTAATCTTCTACCCTAATCCTCGACCTCCACATTCTCCTATCTAGGATCATGTCCTCGGTAAGTTGGAGATGTGCCATATCCTGTCTAATCACTTCTCCCTAATACTTTTTCTGCCTACCTCTGTCTCTCTTTAGACCCACAATAGCCCTTTACACCTCCTCACCGGGGTATCTGTGCATCTCCTCATCACATGCCAGAACCATCTCAACCTCGCTTCCCTCATCTTGTTAACCACAGAAGTCACTCCTACATTGTCCCAAATAACTCCGTTCCTAATCTATCTCTCCTAGTATGTCCACACATCCATCTCAGCATCCTCATTTCCGCTACTCTCATATTCTGAGCGTGAGAGTTCTTGACTAACCAACACTCATTTCCATCTTAGCATCCTCATTTCCATCCTCATTTCTGCTACGCTCATATTCTGAGCGTGAGAGTTCTTGAATAACCAACACTCCGCGCTATACAACATGGCTGGTCTAAAAACAACTATATAGAACTTACCTTTAAGTCTTGATGGCACCTTCTTATCACACAAAACACCAGATGCGAGCTTCCATTTCATCCACCCCACTCCAATACGATGTGTAACATCATCGTCAATCTTCCCGTTTCCTTTGATTATTGGCCCCAGATACTTAAAACTTTCTCGCTTGGGGATGACCTGTGTACCAATCCTCACTTCCTCGTCCGCCTCACGAGATTCGTCACTGAACTTGCACTCGAAGTACTCCGTGTTGGTCCCGCTCAACCAGAAACCTTTAGACTCTAAGATCTGTCTCCAAATTGTTCTAAGGCCCTTTAGAAAATTTAAGAACCTTTATCAAAATTTATATATTAACTTTTCAATGAATATGAAAGCTGGCTAAGCGCTCATGTCCTTGATTTTAATCATCATATCACCTGAGAAAATCAGTCTGTAGAAAATGAAATAATTGGAGAATAGCCTCTCTCATGTTTTACTAGTCCAGAGGAACTCCATTTAGTTTCCAAGAGTGCAGTTTTACTTTTAATATTGAAAATTTAAAAGATCAACACGTCTATTGTTTTTAACTTTTTATGCCGTATAGGGTATTAGAAATGACTGTCCTGTGTTGATATTAAGCTATTATTGCAGAAGTTTGAGGCATATGACGGGAAAGGAGCTGTTGTCTCTGGAGATAGAAATAAGGAGGTATGTGATAGAGAGAATGTATAATGCATTCTTGCAAATGCCAATTTCATTGACTGAATTAACATCCTACATCACTGTGAAGAAAGTCACTTTTCTACACCCCAAAATTGGTGAATGCTGAATAGTGGTTATCTAGACTAGAACCCTAGATAATGGCTTCCTATCTTACAAATATCTATCTAGGATATTAACATATGGATTGTGGGATGCCAGAAGCATTACCTTTCAAGCCTCTTAAAACTTTAAATATTAAAAAAAGAAGAAGAAGCATTCCTGGTTGCATCTGGTAAAGGGCTGCTAAGTTAACCGCAGATATTAGTGACAATGAGACCTACAAGGTCTAAATAATTTGGTATTTTCCTGCTGAAATTACAGTTTTCCACCATCATAGTATGTTAGTGAAGCATTTTGGTAGCAAGTACAACTATCTGACTACCTACTCAATAGTAGTAGGAAGCACTGTATTCTCATATTTGTTTTTTTTCCCAATCCAGGTCTTGGTACGTGATATATGGGTTTTTGAGAAGTCTCTCTTCCACCCTGGAGCATACTGGCGTCTATGTGGACGAATCAAAGTTTAGATAGACTGTTGTGAAGAGGAAATGGTTTTCTTCAACTTTGTAAGATGCTAGAATTTGTAACTTATTCAACCCTTAGACACACATGTCTTTGGTTTCTCTCGAGCTAATTATTTGGGGACTTCCACTTGGGTTGAAGAGTACTTTCATGTGCTTTATTCAGTAGTCCATTCAGAAAATTCAGAAAATTTTCCTTTAGACTTGTGTAGCTGCCATTTTATGACTCAATAAGCAGGTGCAAGTCCTGCATAATTGTTCTTAAAGGAACACCTATAAAGATGTAATTTTGTTTTCTGGAATTGTTTTAAAGAGTTGTCAGTGTGATTTCAGGGAAAGTCTTTCCTTTGACTTGGTGAAAATTGTGTAAGGAGAAGCATATTCACTTGCTTCATCGCTTGGTAAATGGTAATCCATCTTGTTTGGTTTCGTTCTCTTCATGTGCTCCTCTGATCAAATAGCATTTCGTTGTTCCAAAGTATTGTGCTTAGTTGAAGCTGAACAACTACTTTAATCCTCTTTATTAGTTTTCCTTGTTCAATTGGCTTCATGTTCTCAAAGCTGAAATTGACAATCAGAGCCCCTTCTTTGGTAATCATTTGTAAGAAACTCAAAGTTGAGAAAGAAGGAAGGAATAAAACCTTGAAGCCCTATAAGTTTATGGAGGGGAAATATAAGATGCTATCTGGTTTTGCCTTTGTTTTTGCTCCCAAGAAAAGAAAAGGAACATTGCTTGCAACTGTTGCTTGTCTTTGGCAGAAAGAATCTAATGGCTACATCAGTGTAAAAGCCTACATTATTTTTTCAATTTCCTTTCTTAAAACAGACCAAGAAATGGACAAAAGAGAAAACAAGATCCAGCTCCTTGGCATTTGCAATGAATTCTTGTGTTATATAATGTCTTTTCGATGCCCTGTGTGCTACAGTTTATCCATCTGTAGATGGCTATTCAACTTGTTCAAAGATACTACTGCAGGTCATGTTAACATGATCACGAGTTTGGATTATTCTTGGCGCAATGGCTTCCTTATTATCAATAGGCTCTTCGAATTTGTTGTGCAGAGCCTTGCTGCTGAAGCTATCAAACCTGTGACTTTGGGTGACTCCATGAATTACAGTTTGGTCAAAACGAGCCAATCTCGAGCTAATCCAGGTAACAGGAATAGCTCAAGCAATGAACAGATTCTGCATTCTGAAGATTCGACTTCTGATGTACTTCCCAAGTTGGAAGAAACTGCAGTTGAAGATGATTCAGTCCTAAAAAATGGAGAAAATGATCTTTCTCAGCTAACCAATGAAGAGAATGAAGGTGACGAGATTGTTGAGGATGAAGCCCCTAGACCATCAATGGAAACTCAAAATAAAGCTCCAAAGAAAATGGTTAGCATAAATGATAATGTGGAGGAGATTTATTTTAGTAAGAAGAAGATGAAGAAAAAGAAATCTACAGAGAAAGTGCCTTCCATCAAAGAGCAAGTAAAAGAAGAGCTAAAGCCATTGAAATCAATTCTCAAGGTGGGCTCGAATGTAAATGAAAATTGGGATCAGAATAAGTAAATCATAGGTGAAACAGATATTATTAAATGAATAGAGAAAGATTTCCTATTGTTTCTAGGAAGATTGTTTCGTCTTTTAAGAAAAAATCCTCTGATAGAGGAACCCTGTTGTAGGGATGGTATCAACGATGCCCCAGTTGGATAGATCGATTCAAACTCAGATGGTTACGAAGGTTATAATTTAATAACTACAGTATTTATGTCGATAATTGTCTATTGATCGCAATTAAGATTTCTAATCCATTGTTGTTGGTATATAATCACGAACATACGAAATTGAAATGACATCCTGGACAATTAAACGTATGCAATATAGCATTTGTTTGAACATATATGAATGTCAACAAAAAAAATAATAATAATTGACATCCAAATGTATCCACTTTTAGCATTTTCGTCAGAAAGATTGTTATGAAACGTACTCATTTTACCAACTCCTCAAGTTAGATAAACTTAGATAATTGTTAAATAAACACTCATTCTAAGATATTTTTTACATACACAATCTCAAATGAGCCGTTTATCGATTAGAAATTTCAAAAAAAGAATTGTTGACTTCATATTTTACACTATCTAACCCCTTGATGTATATAGGCATGAGGAGAAAAAAAAACCTCCATATGAAGGGGATATAAGGACGGAACTAAGCATTGGCAATTAAATAGACTTTTTACATTATTAGATCAATTTAATCGGTTATAGTATGTCACTCTTCTATTTTATTGTAAGTGAAATAACATGATGGAATGACGGTGATAATTTATTTGGATTGCACAATACTTTGGAAAAAACCACAAGAAAAATTTTCCTACTCCTTTGATACTCTAGTTTGTCATAAATATAGATAGTTTTTGACTAACTTGCCAGTTTCTTGATGTAAACGGTGACATCTTCCCATTGTTCAATAAAAGAGTGGGTTCATTGGAGATAATACTTAATTATATGGGATTAATTGATAATTTATAGCATCTTCTTTTTCGACTGGTCCCATAATTAAATAAGAAAAAACACAGATTCTCCTCAGGGCACTTTGGACGATAATAAGGTAACACAAAGGAGGGGTCCAAAGAATGTCAAAATGGGCAGCGGCTATTCTTCATCTTTTTCACAAAGCAGCACCACTTGCTTAACACGCTATTGTGCTACCGCTCCTTTTCAACTCCAAGAATCACACTCAAACTCTTTAAATTTCTGCTCACCCACTAGATTCTTGGAACCCCGTCTTCACAAATCTTCCAAAATCTTAATACCCAAATCCCCATTTTCAGTATTCTTGCCATTGAAGTGTGCTAAAAAAATGCAGACCCAAGTGGAAGATTCTGTGAAACCCATTGTTGATCCTCATGATATTGACCCGAAATTGCTGCAGAAACTTTCTTATGATGCACTTGTCTTTTGCTCTCTTCGTGGTCTTGTTGTTGGTGACAGGAATTCAGAGGTCAGTCTTTATGTCAATATAAACTTTATTTATTCCCCCCCCCCCCCCCTTTTTTTTTTTGTTTAATCGCAGAGAAAGGAGATTATATTACTGAATTATCTATGAAAAGTTTGGTTTTTTATTTTATTTCTTGTACTATTTTTATTAAAGTTTGGTGCTTTATTGTATCTTCTGTAATTTGTTGATCAAGAAGGTTGTTAGGTGTTATTTCTCTCCTGTTATAATTGTGTTTTCTTGAAATTTGAAGAAGTCAGGAACTGTTCCTGGTGTTGGTATGGTTCATGCTCCAGTTGCTCTTTTACCAATGTCATTCCCTGAAAGTCAATGGAATCAAGCTTGTGAAGTTGCTCCTATTTTTAATGAGCTCGTCGATCGTGTGAGTCAGGATGGAGAATTTTTGCAGCAATCACTGTCTAGGTTGGCAATTTTCTCATTTTCACATAATTGCTATTGTGCTTATTAAAAGGGCAGCCCGGTGCACAAAGCATCCTGTTCACCTAGGGTCCGGGGAAGGCTCGTACCCGGAGATATGATGTTGGTAGCCTACCCTGATGCAAGCGTGGCTGATTCCACTGCTCGAACCCGTGACCAATAGGTCATACGGAGACAACTTGACCGTTGCTCCAAGGTTCCCCTTCGCTACTGTGCTTATTATGCCCTTAAAAATGTACTGAAACAGAATGCACAAGTGTCTAGTATATATGCCTGTATACTTGAACTTGTTTATCCTGGCTGACATATAACATAGTTCAGGTCTTTGGGAATTGAAAGAGATAATGGTACTTCTTTTAGAGTTGTGTGAAGCTTAAATGCCATTCTCTGTGGGAGCTCTTGTGCGCAATGGAGATAACCTGTTTCTGATACTTTTAGCCAGTCCCCGTAATAGTAATCTCGTTTGACTCAGCTAATATCATCCCTGGCCCACAAAATCAGTGATACTTGAGTGCTTCCTTCATTTCCTACTGCTTGAAATGTCAAAGATGCAGCCTTTTTTGGTCCTCCTGTAGTTATGCTTAATTGTTATTCGAGTTTCTTTCTTAAACCGTTTTGGTGTAACAGAAAGTCCTTCACTTTGTACAATTTATGCTTAATTGTTATTCGAGTTTCTTTCTTAAACCGTTTTGGTGTAACAGAAAGTCCTTTACTTTGTACAATTCGTCTTAATATAATATTACTGTCTCTTCAACAAAATGTGTCTGCTAGTTTCTATTGGCATATACAGTTAGGCCTTGGTAGCAATCTGATGTTGGAAACATGATTATAAACACTGAGATACCTACGTAATATGCCATTGACATGACATTTATGAAAATAAAGGTTCTATTGACATAATGACATCACAACTTTCAGTAATTTTAGTGATAGAATGTTGCTTTTGGAAGTCCATGGACCAAAGACTAAGTTCCCATGAAAATTGGAATTCACTGGATGACCAAATTTACTCCACGAGCTTCTTAAAATAAGTTTAAAATCACGTAGAACTTCTTTACAAGTATTGATCAAATACCATAAAAATAGCCTCTACTTAATGATTTTCTGAATATTGCAGTTTCAAATAGGAAAACCATTCTTAGTTTTGTTTTTCTCTCCTTTTTTTTTGGGTGAAATCGATCCGAACTAGGCATCTAATGTTTTTGAGATCTCTTCCTTCAAGGATTACATACATTATTCTTTGTGAATGCGAGTATCTTTTGAATCAGGAGATTTGGGCAGATCAGGTCTGACCTTTATCTGCTTTATATCGTAGGACGAAAAAAGTTGATCCTTTCACCTCCAGACTACTAGAAATCCACTCCAAGATGCTAAAAATCAACAAGAAAGAGGTACAGTTTGATCTATGCATACATATTCAATTTTCGTAATGCGTGTACTGCATTTGTAAGCTCTTTATATATTGACATTTCTTTTCAACTTCTTTAGTTTTCTCAGTTGAGTGTAAAGCATAAACTGACGAAGTCAAGTTTCCTAGTTCTGTGGGGTTGTTACGTGATTTTGATATTCCTAATACTAGATATCAATCACCATAATTTTGTTTGGGTCCTGTATCATTGAGCTGGTGTTCTCCAATTGTGCTTTAGTAAAAAAAATTGGAAATAACCTCTCTACCTCCACAAAGGTAGGGGTAAAGCCTGCGTACACACTCTCCTCCCAGACCCCACTACGTGGGATTATACTGGGTATGTTGTTGTTGTGTAAAGAAATTCTCCTTGCTGCTTCAGATGTTGATTCTCTAATATTTGATCATCAGGAGAGATAAGAAGGGGAATGTTTTGTAATTATGTGCCTAAATCTACTTTTCTTAGTTGTAGTCAGACTGTCAGAGTATTTTGTTGTTTCTTTGGTTTTAGGGGATGATTTACCATTTGATATGACATTAATGTAGGAAATACGCTTGGGGTTGCATCGCTCAGACTATATGCTGGATGAGCAAACTAAATTACTTCTGCAAATTGAGCTTAACACTATTTCATCATCATTTTCGGGACTAAGTTGTCTTGTCAGTGAGCTTCACAGGTAAAATTAGTTTATGTTAACTTTCATGGTAAAGCTTTCATTTTTGAAATTATGAAATGCTATCTTAATATTCTAATCCAGAACCTTTACTGTAATTTTATCAAGTTATTTGCTGTTTTCATTTTTTAGAGGATGAAATCGTTGTTGTATTCATGCGTGAATGCTCAAAAAGTTACTTCAGAATTTCCGATCATATTGTTAACTCTTTCTCCTCTGAAGCTCATATGGAACTGGATCTCAACTGTCATTTGCAGGAGCTTGCTTCATCAATACAGAGAACGCATTGCATTAGATCCTAGCAAAATTCCCACAAACAATTCCGTAAATCAATTTGCGGAAGCACTGGCTAAAGCTTGGAATGAATATGGTGATCCAAGGTTGATTTGATTCGAGAGACGTTTAGTTTCTTATGCTACAATGAAATATATTTGAAGTTACACTAACTTAAATACGTAATGCAGGGCTGTAGTTATGTTTGTGGTTCAAGCTGAAGAGCGCAACATGTACGATCAGCATTGGCTTTCGGCGTCACTGAGAGAAAAATATCCTACGTTATGTGATGGATTTGTATTTGATGTGCATATCATAATAAGAGGAAATGGCCATACTTAAGACAGTTAAAATTATGTTGGTTTAAAATATAACAAAATATGGATTGGTAGTACATCTGGCATGGTTTTTGCTTGTAAATTCTCCTGGAAATATTTCCTTAGCTTTTAACACACATCAAGTTACAACTACCAGAAAGACGCTAGCGGAAATTGATGCACATGGCGAGCTTCTAGAAGATGGTACCCTCGTTGTGTATGTCACTTTTTACTAAAGTACATTTCAATGTTAAAGCTGTTGTATTTGCAGTTTCTATATGAGAAGCTTAAAATCTTAGGATCGCAGAGATGGTGAACCAGTGGCAGTCATTTATTTTAGAGCTGGCTATGCACCATGTGACTATCACTCAGAATCTGTAAGTCAACTTTTGTTCTGCTTGGCATTGTAGTTTACTTTATGCAGCGTCGTTCTTTAGAATTCCCATGCTCCACCAAGCGATCTTAAACACCTTTTGCTGGATCATACGTGCAAAACTTCACCCTTTGCTGACTGTCATTATCTATGCAGACACAATTTTGTGCACATGGCTCGATTCGTTTATTGAGTCCCTAAATACCTTAAGCAAAAAAGGAAAGAAAAATAGTTCCAAGGGGAAATCTGTAGTGAAATTAGTGAGCATGGTGTCCCGGGGGATGGTGGATCAGGTTGGCTCCCTTCCGTGGATGTGCTGTTGTTCATACTTTATGCTTATGCACGTTTTCACTTATTGTTTGATTGTATAAACTGTAATATGCGTGAATAAGCTCTGAACTTTTCTGTTGAAAATCAGCTTACAGTATTTGGAGGATCAAACTTTATAACAGGCTGTCTACCTATTTTGTAAGGCATATTTTGAATCAGAAAAAAAGGTTAAATAAGGAGAGTGAGGGCAAAATGGGAAGACCTGGGGAGAAGATGAATGAGCTCATGGTGGAGTGTGTTGAGTGGAAAGGCTGGTGATGAAGATTGAGAGTAGAAGGAAGACAGAGGACTGTAGACTTCCGTCCTTTAGTTGAGGATGGAGAGAGATCTAGTTGTATTACAGTGAAATGGCAAGGGGTTAAATGCATTTTAAACGAATCTAACGGAAGCATTACTACAGAGCATTGCATTCTGAAACAGAAGCATTGGAATGTGCAACTCAGGGTTAGATAAAAACTATAAATATATGTTCCCATCATTTTCAAGGAACAGTTAAAGAGCCAGTCTGTGGTTCTTTTAGTGAAGGTGTTATGCATATCTACTTTCTACAAAATCTTCTGAGACATCTCTAATTTGACTCTGTGTGTGCATGAGCGCGCAATTTTAATATTTAAAATTTTGGAGGGTGAGCTGGGTTTGGTTCATAATTACTTTTCAATTATGTGACTATGGAAGTGATCACAAATAGAGAGATAGTCCATTTTACTATTGCATCTCATTTGTGATTCAACTAATGCTTGCACCTAACAATAACCTAACGGTCTTTCTTGATCTGTTTTATGCAACTCTTTTTATTATAGGAGTGGAGAGCTAGGCTTCTGATGGAGCAGTCACGTGCAGTCAAGTGCCCTTCCATTTCTTATCATTTAGCTGGGACCAAGAAGATTCAGCAAGAGCTTGCAAAACCCAATGTACTAGAAAGGTAAAATTTAATTCAAGTTATGTCTCTTGTGATTTGTTGATAAGCTTAATAGCTGAGGTAGTCTTTCAAGTTGAGACTCGATTATTTTTGATGTATTCCCTCTTCCTCTCCTTTATGGGTCTTGGAAACTGGAAAGGCAAAACTCAATGCATTTAGTGATTCATAATTTGATAAAGATGAGTATTGACATTCCGTGAACCCTTTCCCTGTGGACTAAAGGGAAAGCAAAAAAATAAACATCGAAGGGAAAATATATAAAATTCCAGACAGTGTATCAGAAAGAAAATGTAGTAACTCTATGTATACCTTGTAAGCTGAGTGCATTAATTAATTTGATTATGCAATCACTTGTAACTCGTGAGAAATTAACTGCTTGGAACGCCCATATGTATAATCTGTTAAACTTTCGTCCTTGTTTATTATGAGCAGGTTTCTTGAAAACAAAGATGACATTGCCAAACTACGAAAATGCTTTGCAGGGTTGTGGAGTTTGGATGAATCCAACACAGTCAAGGATGCAATTGAGAGACCCGGCTTGTATGTAATGAAACCACAACGAGAAGGAGGAGGTCTTGCTCATGAAATTGCTTCTATGTATACTGTAATTGTAATTTTATCAAAATCTCTGACATTAGATCATCTCATCTCAGGAAACAATATCTATGGGGAAGATGTGAAGGAAGCTCTTCTGAAACTGCAGAAGGAAGGCACTGGAAGTGATGCGTTTATACTAATGCAGAGGATTTTTCCAACCATTTCTCACTCGATACTAATGCGAGAAGGCATCCCTCATAAAGAACAAACAATATCAGAACTTGGGATATATGGAACTTATTTAAGGTAAGTACTCCCTCCGGTCCAAAATAAGTGATTTTTTGACCTTTTTCTTGTGGTCCAAAATAAGTGATTTTTTCAGATTTCAAGAATGAATTAATTATTTTTTTCCTACATTGTCCTTGGAGTAAATAGTGTTGGAATATGTGTTAGGAGTGTTTATGTGAGATAGTAAAGGTTAATATGGTCAATTCCATTGCTAATTAATGCTAAAAGGTAGATTTCTTAATCTGTGTGAAAGCATCCAAAAAATCACTTATTTTGGACCGGAAGGAGTAGTAAATATCTCATATTTCTCAACCAGCCCCCCTCAACCCCTCAAACAGAAGAAACAAGAAAGAAAATTAACTCCCAGAAGGTGAGAAACACTGAAATGACCCTTATCCGTGAGCCACTGTCCAGTCCACTTTCACCTTATGTTTGATTCATAATGTTAAATAGGATGCATTTTCTTTGAGAAACAAATTGGGTAAGAATGATGGATATTTTGTAACCTTAATTTTAAATTAATCACTGCCCTTTAATGCCTTGTATTGATATGTACTTCATATGCAGGAACAAAAAAGAAATTCTGATCAATCAAGAGTCGGGTTACTTGATGCGGACAAAAGTCTCTTCATCAAATGAGGGTGGGGTTGCTGCTGGTTTTGCGGTGTTGGACAGTATATACTTGGTTTGATGAGATTGGCTCTTGCATTGTTACTTGGGTTGAATGTGGAGGCTGCATCAGTCTTTCCTACATTACGTTAGAACAACATGGTTTTAGCTTGTTCAACCTTCTTTGTTTTACGTTGTACTTTTCTTGTTTAATCTTAAATAAATAGAGGTCCATATTTTTTCTGAAAGAAGTGGACACAAGATAGACAGTAGATCCAAAGTTCTTGATTGTAAACACAATTCAGTTCTCTTTGTTTATGCAAGGGCTTTAATTATCTGCTACAAGCTGATCACTGAATTTGAACGTATGATCTGTTGCACATTACTCATGTTATTTACATTTGCTTGTAATACCATGCTTAAGCGATAAATTTATGGGAGAATCTGTATTGATTAAATATGGTTTAGTTACAACAGTGTATTTAAGAAACTTTTACCGTATGTAATTGTTAAGTTGGTGTATCACACAGTAATTTCTCAAATATTATTCCATTACTGGACTCCCAAAAGTGCAATATGTACTCACGTGGCAACAACAACAACAACCTAGTGTATTCCCACAAGTGGGGTTTGGGGAGGGTGAGATATACCCACCTTTACCCCTACATGGACGGGCAAAGAGGCTGTTTCACATGGCACCAAGATGACCAAAATTGACAGGTAACGTATCAAATCAAATGCTGTCCCCAAGTCAAGAAAATTCGTGTCACAAGTATGCTGATCCAAATTGGAACCACACATGTTCACTAAGATATGAATTGTAATAACACCACTTAACTTTTAATAAACCAATTAACTGAAATCAACATAATCTGAAGTACAAAGAATGAAAACCTAAGACCAAAAGCATAAACCATATTCACAAAAAGGGTGTACACAGAAAGAGGCATACAAGTGCATGTCTATTCTCTACCGGACAACAAAATTTGAGTAGTTATTTTCCTTTGAATAAATTCTTTACTAGTCCTTCCAGCCAAACTCAATGGCTCGTGCCTCCCATAATGCAGAGAGCTTGCGCTCTTCTATCAAAGCAGCTTCAGCCTTCTCCCTACCTCCCTCACATGTATCTATCCCTATGTTGCACTTCTCTGATTCTTTTTGATAATGTGAAGATGCTCTTTTGGCGCTCATAATTAGAGCCTTGGTGCGATCCAAAACATCATTAGTAACATTCTTCTGCAAGTTAATCTCCTCTGATAGTAAAGTTGCAATATCCTTCTTCATCTCTTCATTCATTTGAGGATCGTCTTTACCACAGTCTGCATCCACAAAAAAAACAAAAATAATGCAAAGATTTGAAGAAGCAGCTTAAACCAAGTTAAACCACTCCTTAACTTTTTCAGGGACTAAATGAAGCAGTGAACTAACCTGCCAATGAGCTGTTTAAGATGTCTGCAAAACAACACATAATAGGAGATGAGAATCAGCAGGAAAGGGGGGAAGATACAATTAAAGAGAACATCAAGGATGTCAATTCTGTGTCGTTGGATAAAAGTATTTCCAACAGTTATGCTGTTTTTCCAACATCAAACGGCAAGAGAAAAGAGAAACTACTGAATAAAGATATACTTTAACATTTTCTTGTACCAGTTAAATAGAAGGCCATATGATTCAAATATCTTGCATGTTGATTTGGAAACTCGAAAGGATTAAAACTGCAGCATAGTATTAAATATTTGAAGATCAAGATATTATCATCACTTATATGTAAACAATCCTCCTCCTCTTCAAAAGTAGAGTAACTCTACTCTTAGTTGATTTTGAAGGCATTCAGTCTCTCCAATCAGGCTAAGGGAATAAATCATTTCAGCAAACTCTTGGAAAAACTCTTTCTTGAACCCTCTCTTGTACTGCTTTTTGCTGATGTAAATTTATCAAAAAGCATTATTGAAGAAGCTTGACTGGCATAAAAAGTTTTCTCCCATGTGCCAGCAACATGCAAAAGTTCCTCTTTCAGTACCACTAATTCTCATATGAACCTTGAATTAGAAATTTCACTTATAGTGCCTTTCGCTAACATTTTGTTTTAAACTTGAGACGTGCACCTGTTCTCAACAAATTCCACCAACTTCTTGTCAATTTCCCAGAAGACCTAACTCAAGATCAACTGCCTGAACTCCTCGTTACGAATTTGGAAGTATAACTATAAACAACATTTGGTTTTTTATTCCTTTTAATAACCGTGATGTTCCAACCAGCTTTGCGCTTGACTAATTCCAGGGGATACCTGCCATCTCCCACCAGCAGCAGGTACCAAGTAAGTCAATCCACCTGAGGGGCGGGCGTTCGGTACGATATTTAAGAATTTCGGTACGGTAATAAAGAGTATGGTACTTCGGTATACGGTTTATCAATCATGCATACCAAATACCGTACCAAAATAGCTCGGTACGGTTCGGTATTTTCTTGTTTGGTTCGGTATGGTTTCGGTACGGTTTTGGTATCGTACCAAGTCTTTGTAAATGAAAAAGTGGTGAATTCTAATTCAAGATTTCACATAAGAATATAAGATCAGTTTTTCTAATGCGTTTTGTTCTGGATTTCCAGAGGTAAAGATCTTAAGGAAAGAACTAGAGGTAAAGCAGAAACGACAACAAAACATCAACCACACTACACTAATTCAGAGAGGAATGGCAATTTGAAGCACAAAAAACTAGGCTACATCACTATGTTCCACAAACCTTGGGATAATAATCGAAAAAGGGGATGTCTGTAAGCATGGATTTGTCTTATTAGGACAATCTATAGTTTTAATGTGCTCTGGAGGCATCACATAGTACATACTACCACCATCGTTCCAATACAACCAACGCGCATAGGTATTTGAAGACAAAAAGAAAGTTCTGAGACAATAGGATAAAAAATTAGTACACTGTCATAAAAGTGAAGAAAACTTCCTCAAAAGATGACCTGGTTATATCTCTAACAAGAATGTTCGCATTTTTAGAGTAAGGAATATCCTTTTTATAAGGTTTCGGAAACAACAGAAACAGAAACCTCTATTTGCTTAAAGATCAACTTCCTCCTTTTTCAAAAGTTTGGTACTTCCGTATTTCGGTTTTACCGAAGTATCGGAAGTTCAATAACGAGAACCATACCGAAGTACCGAACTTTTGAAAAAATTATACCGAATTAGTACCGAATAACCGATATCGAAATACCGAACTAATTCGATCCGGTCCGGTTTTTCGGTTATTTGGATTTTATGCCCACCCCTAATCCACCAAGGCATAGCAACAACAACAACAACAACCCATTAATAATCCCACTAGTGGGGTCTGGGAGGGTAGAGTGTACGCAGACCTTACCCCTACCCATGAGGGTAGAATCCACCAAGGCATAGATGGGAAGAAAATCACCTAGTCTTTACTAGGACGATAGTCTTTACCAGCATTAGGTTTTGTACCAGGACGATATAGTCTTTAAATATATAACACAATGCACTCCTTCGAGTTACTTCTGTCATGATTAGTCTCTTGCCACACCCAAATAGGAACATATGGTACCTCTAAGGTTTCAAGTCACAGAAATTCCTTCTAACATCTAGTTTTAGTTTATTCTCCGCCTTATACAAGTGGTAACAATTAACAAGCGAGGTCATATAAATTTGAGGATTCCACCAGTTTTTTCAATTCGTTAATAGAAAAATGAATCATTAGTTCACCAATTTTGATGACAAGCCAACCCCATGAAGGCATCTACATTACCTTAGCAAAAAGAAAGAAAATATTCCCATGAAGGTTATATAGTTTTCTGTTTAAAGAATCAATTGATGTCCCCAGAGAAAATTCCACATATACATCACATATCTGAATAAAACGAGTGCAGACATAGATTAAAGACATGAAAAGTCACTTTCTGTAATGACGGATTTGGTGTGGTAGCCGTGCATTTTTCTCTCATCTTGTTCTTTTTTATTATTAAATAATCATATTTTATCCTTTATACTTTTTTCTGGGTCTGTTGAGCCGAGGGTCTTCCGGAAACAGTCTCCCTACACCCTGGGTAGGGGTAAGGTTTGCGTACAGTCTACCCTCCCCAGACCCCACTAGTGGGATTCTACTCGATTGTTGTTGTCGTTGTCATACTATCTTTTTTATATAATAATTCTATTCTGTATCATATTTTTTCTTAGTAATGTTGCAAAAATTATTCTTCACATTGTTGGTGCGTGATATCATGAAACGACGGCAAAAGATACAATCTATTCAAACATTGTATTCATGAAACAATACAATACAGTACAATACAATACGACACATTATAAAACGACATATAACAACCATCCAAACAAGCTATTAAGCAGCATTTCAACTTTAAATGAACTGATGAATGCAACATGCTTCAATATGTAATCAGGCATTATGTTTAGTCATTAGGATCAAATTAGGCAACATAAGTACACATCCTATACATTTTTGGTCCATTAACAAACATTTGGTAGATAAGCAAGACTGAGCATCCAAAGAAAGATGAACTGACCTAAAGGCAGGGAGAGCATGGATTCCTCCTCACAATCACAGAAACAAGGAGGACATGAATCCAAAGCCTTAGAAGAGTGGCGCAATCTTGGTGGTCTGACTATGTAAACAACCAGAAACAAACCCAACAGAACCATAACAAATCTCACTGTCCCCCTACTAGAGGACCTCTGGTCTGATGGGTAAGCCATAAAAAGTTCCCCTAAAACAACAGCAGAAATTCCAAAAACCCAACTGTCAGTGTAATAGAAACAAACAAATAGACCAAATCTTTTTACTTTCAAAATGAAATTACAAGAAGACAACAAAAAGAACAAATCTGAAAACCCCCAATTTCACATTTCATCCAAAAACTACAATTTTTTCATACCTGGGTCAAAAGAGATCAAAACTTTATTACATAATCTTTAACTCAAACTCAATCATTTGAGAAAGTCTGAACAAGTACCCACTTCAATAAAATGGGTGTATATCTATCTGTCAAAATGCCTTGTGAACCACCAAATGAAAAAGACTTAATAAAGCAGAAAGTGATTGTAGTGAGTAGTGAGCTCAATATTCTAAGAGACAGAGACGCTAATCAAAAACCAAATGTTGGTTGAGGTGTTTTGAGTTATTATTAGGGAAAGTAAAAGTGACTCAGATCCCAAAAAGGAGAGAAACGAAAATTATGGGGTTCTTTACAGATGCAACATTACTAGAACAGTTGTGAAGAGAGAAAATCGGAGACATTATGTAGTGAAGAAGAAGTCTCTGCTTTTTAATGAAAGTAGTAAAGGTAGTGTTTGATCATGATTCAAACACTAGAATAGGTGATTTAGAAGTAATCACATTTGAATTAAAGTTAATCAAAACCGGGAAATGTGGTTGTGGGGAAGCTAGAGTAGTTATATTATTGAATGGACCTATCTGGCACA